CACATTGACCTCTTAGGTAAAAACGGTTTCCGATCAATAACTAAAGAACCTTAAGGCCTAGGAACTTCAAACTTGATATGGTGATTGGTCATGATCAGTAGATGATCCCTATTGATTTTGGGGTCAAGGGGTCAAAGGTCAAGGTCACATTGACCTTGTAAGCAAAAACGGTTTCCGATCAATAACTAAAGAACTTTAAGGCCTAGGAACTTCAAACTTGGTATGGTGATTGGTCATGATCAGTAGATGACCCCTATTGATTTTGGGGTCAAGGGGTCAAAGGTCAAGGTCACATTGACCTTGTAAGCAATAACAGTTTCTGATCAATAACTAAAGAACTTCAAACTTGGTATGGTGATTGGTCATGATCAGTAGATGACCCCTATTGATTTTAGGGTCAAGGGGTCAAAGGTCAAGGTCACATTGACCTCTTGGGTAAAAACGGTTTCTGATCAATAACAAAAGAACCCTTAGGCCTAGGAACTTCAAACTTGGTATGGTGATTGGTCATGACCAGCAGATGACCCCTATTGATTTTGGGGTTAAGGGGTCAAAGGTCAAGGTCACATTGACCTTGTAGGTAAAAACGATTTCCGATCAATAACGAAAGAACCCTTAGGCCTAGGAACTTCAAACTTGGTATGGTGATTGGTCATGACCAGCAGATGACCCCTATTGATTTTGGGGTTAAGGGGTCAAAGGTCCAGGTCAAATTGACTTTGTAGGTAAAAACCGTTTCCGATCCATAATGAAAGAACCCTTAGGCCTAGGGACTTCAAACTTGATATGGTGATTGGTCATGATCAGTAGATGACCCCTATTGATTTTGGGGTCAAGGGGTCAAAGGTCAAGGTCACATTGACCTCTTAGGTAAAAACGGTTTCCGATCAATAACTAAAGAACCCTTAGGCCTAGGAACTTCAAACTTGGTATGATTATTGGTCATGACCAGTAGATGACCCCTATTGATATTGGGGTTAAGGTATCAAAGGGCAAGGTCACTTTGACCTTGTAGGTAAAAATGCTTTCAAATCAATAACTTAAGAACCCTTTGGCCTAGGAACTTCAAACATGGTATGGTGATTGGTCATGACCAGCAGATGACCTATTGATTTAGGGGTCAAGGGGTCAAAGGTCAAGGTCACATTGACCTTGTATGTTAAAACGGTTTCCGATCAATTAACTAAAAACGCTGAGGCCTAGGAACTTCAAACTTTGTATGATGATTGGTCGTGACCAGCAGATGACCCCTATTGAGTTTTGGGTCAAGGGGTCAAAGGTTAAGGTCATGACCAGTAGATACTTGATAACCCTTATTAATTGTTTGATCACTGGGTCAGAAGTCATAATAACCTTATCACATGACTAATTGGCTGCTGATAGGGGGCATACATGTTTTACAAACATATCTTGTTTATGTTAAGATGATAAAGTGTTATATATCATAAGGTTTTGTAAAAGTTAAGTCCTTAATTTATTGCTGCTTTCTTCATGTGCTATAGAAATCATAATGTAAGAAATAGGAAAAAGTTTTTGCCAATTTTGTGGGATTATTTGAATTGATAATATTCTGTTTAGTTGAGCCTGATACCCATGAGTAGGTTTGTTTCATGTAAAATATTCAGTTCAACAGTTTAACCGAATTTGCAAAAGAACAAATTTCAATCATATTAAAGCCTGTTTTTATTTGAGGGAAGTTTTTTTGGCACGGGTACAACTATATTTGTTAGTTAGCACACTGGTGTTCTGTACAATGTGTCACAACATTTCATCTAGATTACTCACAGTGTTACTGTATATATCATGCTTGAAGCGTTTATTTATTCAGGCTACATATTTTGTTTCTCAATATTCCATTAAAGGGATCAAAGAATCTAACAATTTTTAAATATATACATGTATAACTATAACAGCATGGTTATAACAGAACAGCACTGTTGTACAATGTATAGGGAAATTGTCAGAATTAAATGCATAATTCTGTCAGTACATCCAATAAAATACATAAAAAACTACCATGGTAATTCTGTTAATGAAATTTAGAATTTTATTTTATTAAAACACTAAACATGTTCAGTGATTTTTCTCGCTTAATTGGGAAGAGGCCTTAGCCTCTTGATTTTGGGAAAAATTATTGCTAAAATTGCTAATTTGGGAAGAAAAAAGCAGGTTTATGTTCAGATTTTTGGGAAAACTGCATGATATTAAAGAAAATTTCAATTGGGAAGAGGCCCTTTTTCGGAGTCTGTTATATAAGTAGGAAAATCACTGATGTTACATGTGTGAAATGTAAATGATAAAGATGTGAAATACGAGGTTAAATATTTAGCCCAAAATTCCTTACCTGTTTTAGATTTTCGAAAATTTGAAGGGATATTATTTCATTATTTGAGGGCTTTAGTAATGTGGGTTGTTTTTTTTTCTGAAAAATTCTTAGGTTGTGGTACACATACTAGGTTCCAATTATTTGCAGGTCCCAAAGTGCCAAATGTTGTTTTCAAAAATTCCAATGTTAAAAATAATAAATAGATAAAAAAATTATATAAATTGATAATAAATTGTAAGTAATGCTCAGAAGTTTGAAATCATTAGTGATTTTTATCATTGAATAAAATTTAAAATGTTACTTAAGGCTATTGCCTGCAACTGATTGTGACCCATGTGACTTGTGCAGACAAAGGTCAGTTTGTGCCGTCTGATCATGGTCTGCACTGGTTGCTTTTCAGCCAATACATATTTTGAAATTTCCCCCTAGAAATGATAAATGGTTTTGTCCAGATTGAAAGATGGGCAAGTTCATTTAAGATATTTAGTGTGGTAAGGGTTAATTAACTCAGTATATACAAGCCTTTGATCTAGAAAAAAATGCTAATTTTTTCCTCCTATACAGTATGTTGTCACTTTCTGTGATATGCTTCTAAAAAAATTTGATTATTAAATGTCAAATTTAATTCTTATTTTATATTTACAGGTTATTATAATTCTAATAGTTTGATTCTTCAAGTTTTATTTACTCTTTAGTTACATTTCCTTTATACTTTTTCAATAGATTGCCTGTTTGTTCAAACAAAACTGTGACAAATTAACATAAAATCCATTACATTGCAAGTATATGTTACTGACCTATACACTAAATATTGATAAGGATTTCTATAAATGGAATTGAAAGAGCTACATTTAGGCTAAAAGTGATAAAAAGTCTAAAGTAAACTTGCTGTTCATATTTACTCAGTGTTGACTTAATAGAAAAATGTTTGGCAAAGTTTTGCACCTAGCTATATTAAGATTTTTTTTCTTAAAATAAAGATTTTTTTTGATAATAAAATAAAGATTACTCTTGTAGAAATAGTTTGAATTTTAATCCAAATGTTAGATTCCTGGAATTTACTTTTATGTATAGAAAGAACAACAGAACTTATGGACAAAACAAGCATTAGGGGCATGAAACTTTGCTTTTTTGCCCCATAAGTCTTTTACCAAAATAGCCAGATCATGGGAAGTTAGTTTATGAATAAAGGCTTGTTCATAGAATTTTTTTTCAGGTTTTGGTTGAAGTTTTTTTCTCAGGAAGATATCATTTAAAATGGTTTCATTGATCCCATATTTCCCTGACTGAAGTAAGCCTACCCAGTCTAAAACCAGCTGTTTGTTGGTTACAAAAATAAGTAAGGTCAGGGGTCAGTAAAATAGATTCTTTCAGTTGAATATTTTTTTACAGTTGGATAATAGAAAATATTGAGATAATGTCATCACTTACATACTTGTGGCTGATATTGATATAATTTCCTTACATTGTTCACATATTTATTACTTTCATAATAAATTAATATCAAGATGACATGTAATGTCATTGTGTGTATACAATGTATATATATATATAAATATAAGTAACAGTATCATTTAACTGAAAACAAAAAAAAACAACAACAGAAAATGTAATCAATATAACATACAAAACTAAACCAAAAACAGTGTATTGTTAGGTACTGAAGTTTGATCATTAAAACACTCTATGTACCATGCTAAATTTCTTAAAATTATTTTATGCACTTGTCTATCTTTCAATGAGGACAAAACCTTAAATCATTTTGAGGCAAATTTAAAATACCGGTATGTACTGACTTAATAATGAGGGGCAGATCTTGATCAGGCATCTGGTCTGGGTCAGCACTGGTTGTATTAGTAGATTCACTGGCCTGGCATCAGCTGGCAAAGGGTTAGTAAAACTAGTGGGATATGAGGATACATTTAGTCAATATAAGATGAGAAAATGCATTACTTGTCATTATAAATATTCTTTGTCCCAAAGAAGAAAAATCAGAGTAATATACAAAATCTATTAAATAAAATATATCAGTAATATTAATTAATGTCAAATTAAGACACTATAGAGTATGTTGTACTGGAGGTGAGTGTGCTACTGAACTTATAGGAGAATTACAGCCATAATAACTTTCAACATGTGCTAGGCTGTGAATATTGAGATATTGTTTTCCTGGAATGTAACTTACAGTAATTCCCCTGTCATTACCAATATAGCAGGCATAACATGTGAATAATGCCTGCATCTTGTAGCAGATATAATGCTCAAATTCTGGCTAATAAAACACGGGGTCCTTGTGGATTATTGGTTGTTATTATAATAATATTGTCTGATATATTCCGTGCTGATTATCCCACATCATTCCATGCTGATTAACTGATTAATTTTGTATAGACGTGTGCTATTCATTATCTGATATTATAGTTATAGGATCCTAGAGATGAGACAATCTCTTATATCTATAGGAAAAAATTCAATTGAACGATATACATCATTGTACTTTAATATCATTAAATATAACAATATTTGTTTGCTTTTTTTGTTACAAAAGGTATATCAAATAATGTTGGAAAGTGAAATTTCAAATTTGTATATTTTAAGTTTCTTCAAACGGAACAGAACATATATTTTTCAAACTTATGACATTGTTGTGATGAATGGCTCTCTTATATTTCAGGATACATTTGCAATCTTCAACAAGAACCAAAGGAAAAGGCAATTCAGGAACTACTGATACACCTTCCATTACTTCACTCGGGAAACGCTCAAGCCAAAAACGAGTACCTTAACCTTATTCCCCATATCCTTTCTCATTCCATTGAAAATGGCGTCTTTATTGAAGAAAGTCGTCAACTATTGTCTTATTCTCTCATACATCCTGCCATTACCTGTGAGGAAAGGTCAAAGTTCAACATGTGGCTGGGCCACCTGGACGAACGGTTTAGTAATAGTCAGTTTCATTCACCTTCACAACAGACTCAAGGTCAACCTGATGACATTCAAGGTCAGGTGCCTTTTTCACATCAGCCTGAGAGCGGGAACTCGTTACGGACAAATGTGACTCTTACAAAGACAAATTCTATAGGAAATGCACAAATAAATGGCTGGAATAGCAGTGTATTTCAGTCTAGTGAATCACTAAATTTAAATGGCCTTGATGGACATGGTCAGACTGGAAGTCATCTTAATATCCATGGTAACGGAAGACATCAAGCTGGTCAACACTTACAAACAAGTGTAAGCGGTATATCTGGTCATATGCCACTACAGGCCACCCTGTCTGCCCCACCTAACTTCAATACCATCATGCCACCAACCTCACTTACATGTAAGTACCTTTATTTAACATCCCTTTATTATATTTGTTTATATTTGTTAATATGCACACTTAATGCAGTTTCACTATTGAAGATTTATCAAGTTACATTTCAAGGGAAGGAAAAACTGGTTTATTGCTATGGTTGCAATTTTTTTTATAAACTTTTTTTTTAAATGCATCATAAAGTTTTATCATAAAGTGTTCATAATTTCAAGATGTTATCTTTAAACAGCGAACTGTTTATAAAATATATAATAATTATATCTTGTCATTGAAAATATATTGGAGTTGTTATGGATGCTACTAACTTTACAATACCTCCAAAAGATTTACCTTCAGTTGTTTGATAATGGTACAGCTGTAAATTATATAATTAAAAAAAATATATTACATGTTTAGGTTTTATTATTTATTTATTTTTGGTATTGATAAATAATCATGATACAGAATGTAAATTAATATATAGAGGATATTTGTTTAGTTCAGTGTAAGATCGAAATATATGTCACCGAGTGAGCAGCAAAAGGTATATTTCACGAGTGGCGCAGCCACGAGTGAAATATGAACTTTTGATGTTCACAAGGTGAAATATATTTCGATCTTACACTAAACTAAACAAATTTTCTTTTTATTATATGCATTGAAACGTTTTAAAAAGACATTATACCTAATACTGAATGAAAAGCGCGCCAAATAATAATAGAACGTGACGTCATTTACGACGTCACGTCATTAAGTTGGTACCCAGTACTGTGCACGCTGGTATTTCACTGAAACAAAGTAAGGGGCTTAAATTCAAAACAGTGAAATTATCAAAAAAAGTAAGGGGCTTAAATTCAAAACAGTGAAATTATCAAAGTGGTAATTTCACTGTTTCAAACAGTGAAATTACCAGTTTTATATCACTGATATATTTCTATAAACCACCGAAAAGCATGTAATAAAATTCACTTATCTGCACCCATCATTTTTCCTGGTACAGTTCTGTTAACAAAAGGACAAATGGTTGTTATTGTGGCATTCCTTCCATCAAAGCTGTAAATCATACCTGTGTTATTTAATTTAATTAGTGTGAGAAATTCTATATTAAGCATGTAATGTTTAATTTTGTGGGAAAACTGTCATGAATCTCTATGATCGTGACTTGTGGATAGGTCATACTGTATAAACTAACAAAATGTTTTTTGTGTTCAAATCTTTCATTTGTTTGTCTAGAGATTGTAATGTTAATCTGTTTTATTGTGTAGGTTTTAACAAATATACAGGTCAATCATCGGTCATAAAACCAGTAAATCCTACCATGATGTAAAAATATTTATTGATCACTTCTTAAATAATAAATGATTTCAAAGTTTTATAACCTTGATAATACAGTATTAAATTTTATTAACTCTGATGTTTATGTAGGTCACAGGTCGTGATGGTTTAATTTCTCCATATGTTTATACATATTGTATATATAATTATGTTAGATATACATGTATATTTATTTATCTCATATTATTGCAAAATGATGATTTTCTTAAAACGAGTTGGAAGTGAAGAAATCAAAACCAGACTTTAAATGACTTATTTTAGTGTTGAGATCAAAATAGTCACAGGTTAAAGTCACTGACCACTAATATCATGTTATCCTCAGATGAGCAACTTTGGAGCCAGAGGCCTCCTTAAGGCTCCTTGTTCATGATTTTACTGATGTTTGATTTGTAAGGTAAAGAACAGGAAGTTGCCAGCCTGTAGACATTTGGTTTTTGTCCTTAGGTTCTATTGGTCTTTGTCTCTTGAGAGAATTTTATTCTTCTTTTCTTGAGAGAATTTTATTCTTCTTTTTTCTAAGATTCTATTTGTGGCTCTTCTATATTAAGGTTTTACAGAGTTCAGTACTATTGGACTCTGTCCCAAATTTATATTAGTTTCTGTCCAAAGATTCTATTGGTCTCTGTCCCAATCTTCCAAAAACAGGATACTTTTGAAGGCTGCTTTTTGCAAAGTAAGTTATGCACATGAGCATTGTCACAATTGAATTTTTGTGCAGCAAAAATTGCCTTAAATTTCCCCTACTAGGGAAAACAAAGTGAAAATTCTCCATCCTACAGGCTCCCAAAACAGAATGAGAGCGATGACCTTGGAGGAAATAATTAGGTTTATATTTCATGAAAAGTAACTGGTTAACAAGAAGAATGTCTCTCACTCAATATTAAACCAGTGATTATATAGCTAATTAACTTGTGAGAAGTCTTAATTTACTACAACTGTATATCCTATATACGTCTGACAGACTGTATTAATTACACTAGTATATATAGATTACAAAACAATACATGTTAACCTCATTACATACACAGTCTTCGCCTTAATTTTTTATCAGCACTAGCCCAGTCGGGCTAGCAGCTTACAAATTTCACTAGCCCGAAAACATTTTAACTAGCCCGAACCAAAATGATATTTTTTGCATACATTTTGTACAAAAATAACACTTTCTAAATGTTTTATATACCATTTAACATTATTAAAATATCAACTAATCAACTTTTCTTCCTTTCATTATTTAAATAAGAAGAGTTTAAACTACATATGAAAAGAAGATATTTTGATATTTCTGTGGCATTGTCCACAGACACTGAAAAAAATTGTTTAAAAACTGAAAATACTCTTCTCCTTGTTTACTACAACCATGTCGGCTGATACATGCTTTGACAACATATTTATCTTCCTTTTCGTATTACTTTTTTTTTTTTTTTTTGGTGTGTTCCTTTTTGGCTTAGTGCCTTCAAAATACAAGAGAAAAGACATATTGCGAAGCATGAGATGACGCCTAATAAATGTCTAACAATCAATATTTCATAAGCGTTTTAAGTTCAATAAAGCTGCAAATAGTTTATAGGGCCAAGGTGGTTTACCCATCAAAATCTAGAGTAAAATGAAAATTCTGGGGTAAAATTAATAAAAAGAATTTGCATTGTTTTGTTATCAAATTTCATTGCCTTCTAAAAAGTTCCTTTCTTTACATAAATCAGACTGACTTATATAATAAAATATTGATTCAATGTGAAATAATACAAAACTTGCTCTGTTAAGGCAGGCTTTCCTAGACTAGTACACATCAAATTAATGACAAGACTCATTTTTTTGTTGCTGACATGTTGTTGTTTGAATGTGTCACATTCTTTTAAAATCAGCTACATGGTCAGCATGAGGCTTTATTCATACTCTATTTCTACAGACTACATTTTAGTGCTGTTCTTTGGTTTTGATTATTTATAATTGAAATTAGAATTGATGAAAAATAAATATAATAGAATTAAAACTTTTATACACAAAGAATTAGTCTTTGAGGAAATTGTCCGTAACTGTAAACTTGGTACGAAAATATTGAGTACAAAACTGCAGATGGCAAGGGAGAAATATGTTTTCCAATAACTAAAGTGGCAACTACAACATTTTTCTTTATATATTATAATATATGTCTAAACAAATTGAATATTAGGTTAAGTCCTACGATGATAACACCAAATTTAACTTTATCAATAATTTCATTTCAGAAACTCCCAAGAGTTACCTTCCCTTTTTACTCGATGTCACTTCCTGCTACTTTCGTTTTCAACTTACAGCAGTGTTGACAATAGTACTTTTAGTTTTCCATCCAATACAGCAGAAATATATTGTATTTTCATTAAGCCAAAAAATTGCTATCTGGAGCTCTGCATATTTCCAACATTTTCTTAATTTGGATATGAAAAAAGCCCTCGACCAGACGGGCTACCTGCTTGGAATTTTCACTCGACCATCCGCAAATTTACTCGACTCGGTCGTCGGTCGAGTGGGTTAAGTCGAAGACTGCATACATGTACAATGATCTAGTTATATTTAGATTAATGTTGTGATATATATATTACCTAATATCTAGACTATATTAAATAATTTAATATTATTATATAGTATTTTATATTATGATAATATTTTCCTCATTAATTAAGATACAAGTCTATAATTATGAAAGAACAAGTATAATGTATTGATAATTTACAGGCTCAACCAACAATTGGCATGTTTTATAATCTGTATTATATTATTTCATTGTATGTAGTTCTGATATTTTCTGTACACATTTATAAATATAACATAAGTTTAATACTGACTATTGTAATGAAATATTATGTGTTAAATAGACAAGAGGGTACAGTGATTTAACTTAACTTTGTTGGCATGAAATTTTGTGTTTTTGTCAAAACAGGGACATTTTCATGGGTGCATTAATTTGTGGTCTTGCTGTATACAAAACTGGGGTAGCCCAATATTGACCTATTTTCAATGTGACATTATACTATTTAGTTTATTTGGACAAATTATATAAATCAAGATACCAGTATGCCTGCTGACATGTATCAGTTAACTAACTGTACATGCTCTAGTAGCTTACTTTTTTCAGTTATTTGCCAGTCATCGAATGGGTTTGAAAGTTTGAACCCTTGGTGTTTTAAATTCATTTTACCAAATAAGAGTGGCCATTTCTTTGTAAGGTGTTGTGCTTTAAGGAAGTGTTACATAAAATGAAGTGATTATTTTCATATAATTTCATCTCCATGGTGCACTTTTCCTCTGTCTAAGGGCCCTGACATCATTCCCCTTGAAGTGAAAAAAGCACTGGACATGTTTAAAACTTATTTATACATGTAAATTATTAGATATTGTAGAATTTTAGGACATAAATCAGAATAAACGAACAAACATGCAGGGTTATGATTGTTAAAGTACCTCTTGGTATTACTATTGCAGGTATCACTGCACATTTGCAGTCCATATATTTTAATTTTTTTTCGAAAGAATTTATGTTTAATTCATACTATTTTTATGGTTTATAAATGTGAAAACCAGCTTGAAAAAATGACATATTACTGTTATACAAGAACATTACACAGATATATGAGAATTGTAATTTTGAATTTTAAGATGTTAAATATTTTACACATACTAAGATTAGATTATATGATTGTATCACAGGAAATAAGGCAGTCTTATAACCATTTGTTTAATTCTGATAAAACACAATAAATGACCAGTGTTTATTGGCCTATACTTGTACAGATTAAAGTAGGTATTTAAGAGATACAATTCACCTGTAAATAGCGAGGGTAAATATTACCATAGCTAATCTTGTGTACTTGTGAGACATGGTAAATAAATCACCATTAAAATCTAATGTCAACTGTCCATGTAGAGGTAGATCTGACGCACTTGTGTCACGATTTGAGAAACTGGATAGCTGGCTTAACTGGTTTCATACAAACACAATGTTTGCATTTGTAAGTTAATGTCCCACTCACCCTTACAGCATTGCTATGTGCTCATTTTAGCAGCTATTATTACTGCTATAAAACAGAATTGTAATTAAGATAATGTGAGATATAGTAAGAGAACAATTAATTCATAAAGTAGACAAATGTGCGAGTTCTTATTATATTGACACTTTGATTATTTTCAGCAGTTAGTCAACAAAACCAGGCCGTCCCAGCCCAGCCAGCAACTCATCATGCACCTTTACGACGAATGCACTCATGTGCCCCACCTAACAGCCTGCCTATAAACAATTCCTCTGTCTCAGAATGGCTGAAATCTAACGATGCCCATTTAATGCACGGTCCTGGTAGACCAGGATCTGTTTTGTCCGACCACGCACCACTGTCTCCACAGAGTAGTACAGCATCATCCGGTAGTGGTAGTGATGAACATAGGGAAGACGGTCCTCACCCGGTCAGAAATACATTCATGGAGGAGGGCAGCGGCATGAGAGGTTAGCTCAAATATTTTGTTTTTTTATGTTTATACTGGAATTTTCTCTCGTCACATTACTGTTTCTTATAGAACTTCGTGTGTTGGAACCAGAATGTCATCATGTTTTCATTATATCAGCACATATTTTGTTATAAATGTCACAGTAGGTAATGATTTACTTATATCTGTAAGAAGATAAGAAATTAAAACAGTGAAAATTTGTTCAAATTTGTTTAATTGATCAAATCTAACTTATATATACTTTATAGTAGTGAGATTTAACAGTGAGTGTGGTAATAAAGTTAAATCAATATACGTTATTTTACCACCTACATTATTTACAGAGCTATGATGAAGTGTTATCATGGTAGCCTAGGGACACAAAGTTATGCCCCGCGCAGTGACGGACATACATACTTTACTTTATTACTCACCTTCTTAATTAATGAAGCAGTTAGTTAAATGCCAAGAACAACCAACTGTTTGTTTTGTTTTGTTTTTAAAGGTTTGGTTAATTATGTAACATTTCATCATAAGTTTTAATTAGATATGTTGATATGTTTTTTATGTCTAGATTTTTTTTTAAACAGTTTGATACAGCTATTAAAGGTTAACTTGACTTCACCTAAGGCATGTTTTTGGTATTTAAATTGATAAACATTATTCATAAAACATAATTATGCATTACAATGATATAAGAAAACAATACACTGGTTCCTCGTACATGTTTATATATGATATGTTCCCTGCTATAATACAAAATATAATATCATGTTTCAGTTAGATATTCTTCTTGCGATGACTTTGAATTTTGGTAGTTGTTATCAGGCACCTGCAGAATGGCTGATATTTGTCAAGTTTTGAATCACCAACTTTTCTCATAAAGAATAACCGTAGATTAAAGAATGTGTGTACAGTTACTATAATAGTATATGAATTTTTTTTCTGAATGGAATGTGACTGTGGAGTGTTAATGTATAGACTTGCTGGTGTTTCTAGTTATAATTTTAAAATTTATTTTTATCTTTTTAAGGCATAAGAAAATATTGCCTTCACATCACCAGGGCTCGAATTTAACACTCGCAAACTCGCAAAATGCTAGTTGAAAAATGATTTTGCGAGTTAGATTTATGACTACTCGCAATTTTTTGCGAGTTGAAGAAAAAATTGAATACGCTCGTCAGGAAAATCTGAAATATAAATGGGGCGTAATATTCGCAGGTAGCCGAGATATAAACTATGCCCGCACTTGCTGTCTGGTTTACATTTTCTATACCTTAACCTCGCTTAAAAAAGTACACAAATTTAAACCAGTCCAAATGTCATTTTGTCCGTGTAAATCAAGCGTGATCTGAATAAAATGTCTAAACAAAAAATAACGAACTTCTTCCCACTTACTGAAGCAAATGTGTCTTCCGATAACAATACTCCGAGTACAGAAGATGATTCACAGTCTATCAAAAGAAAGACAATCAGACCTTCAGTTAAAAAGGTTAAAAATTGGGAGAAAGAACTGCATGTCAGTCTTACGTACTAACTCAATGACGATGGAAATGTTGCCAAAATATTTTGCGCCGATTGTTGTGCGCATAATCCTGACCAGACATCGTCGGTATGGCGACAATATTGCATTATTATTTTTTTTACATGTAGATTGATATTTGATAAGAATCCCTGTTCCCTAAATCAAGTTTTTGAGTAGAAAGTTACGTTGCTGATTCGTACCACGGGCAGTTCGAACTCGTCCAAATAAATTACAATTTTAAACAATTTTTGAATTAAAAAATCATTGTCGTAAAAAGTGCTAGTTGAATTCAGTTTTTGCTAGTTAAAAATTTGTCCACTAGCAAATTGCTAGTGACCAAAAAAGTTAAATTCGAGCCATGCATCACTGAATTTAAGCTGTCTATAAAAGAAATAAAAAATCCCGATTTTCTTTCAGAAGGCAAACATTTAAGTTTGTATTTTTTACATGTAATTTATATGATTATCGCTTTAATATATTCTTATTATCATAAACTATTAAATTACACCAATGTGTATTTTGTATAAGATAAATGTATTAAAAACTGCTGAATGTGTGATCCTTGAATGATTTAATTTTGATATATTGATCATCATGGCATGTAGTGGTAATATCATATATCAACATTTTCAAATATAAAACTCAACCTCTCTATACTTTGATAAACAAGCAAACTTTTAAACTTGTGCCAATGTGGTAAATTTTAATTTGAAAACAATGTGTTTGTTTGTAAGTCATGTTATTCTTGTTTATAGTGCATTTATTTATCTCACTTGTATTATATATATTTGGTTTGTATATTTGGTTTGTTGGCACCTTATATGGACCTGTAACATGAGATAGTGTTTAAAGCTGGCAAGGCCAGTAATGACTTCAAAAATCAAATTGATGAGTGCCTAATACTAAAATCAGTTGGTTCCATGTTGAAATTACCAGCTTTGATTATCACAAATGTAAACAAAATTTTCTTTCTCATGTTTTCAGCATTTGTTCTATGATAGAGCAGAGTTTTTGGCATTGACAATATCAGTGCCAACTGATATATTTAATTAATTTGTTGATCCTTTTGTTTCCCATGTTCAGTTTGGTTTGTCTGCTAAATATAAACTTTATGTATATTTCAGATGTTCCTCTTTGGTTGAAGAGCCTAAGATTACACAAGTATGCCTACCTGTTCCAGCAAATGACATATGAGGAAATGATGAGTATCAATGAAGACTGGTTAACACATCAGGTATGTACATGTATGTTTACACAACACGTATGTACATGTATGTTAACACATCAGATATGTACATGTATGTTAACCATCACATATGTACATGTATGTTAACACATCAGGTGTGTACATGTATGTTAACACATCACTGATGTGTTAACATATATGTACATACCTGATCATCAGGTATGTACATATATGTTAACACATCAGGTATGTACATGTATGTTTACATGACACATATGTACATGTATGTTAACACATCAGGTATGTACATGTATGTTAACACATCAGGTATGTACATTTGTACATGTATGTTAACATATCAGGTATGTACATGTGTGTAAACACGTCAGGTATGTACATGTGTGTTAACACATCACTGATGTGTTAACATATATGTACATACCTGATCATCAGGTATGTACATATATGTTAACACATTGGGTATGTACATGTATGTTTACACGACACATATCTACATGTATGTTAACACATCAGGTATGTACATGTATGTTAACACATCAGGTATGTACATTTGTACATGTATGTTAACATATCAGGTATGTACATGTGTGTTAACACATCAGGTATGTACATATATGTTAACACATCAGGTATGTACATATATATTAACACATCATGAATAACATGTTGTCTTGTTATTATGTACATGAGCTACAGATTTGAACATATTTCCTGATCTGTTTTAGAAGATTGTAGGACATATAACTCTCTATATAAAGCATTGCTCACTGACAACTTTATGTGTGTCAGGTGTACTTAAACAAGATATATGAACAGACAGACAGACCGGGGATAGAGGTAGCATAGGGGGAGGTAGTTAAAAGATGGAGAATGGCAGTGCTTTCAGTATTAAAATGGCTTTTGAAATACCATACTTCAGATTATAAGAAAGAGTAAGAGAAATGATGTGTAACTAATTTACTATTCATGAAATACGATCATTAGTTGAACAGGCGGCTAGTGATTAATAATTCACAAGTTCTGGGTGTGCAAGTTGCAGCATAATTACATCTCAAAGAAAATAGTTCTGATTTGTTACAACAGAGAAAATTTTCTCTAGGAATGATTCTTATAATGCCAAGGTAAAGGTAGATATGGGAAAGTAATTAAGTTTCTATTATGACATACAAAAGCTGACTTGAAAAATCAACCTATACATTACCTGTGAAAGTACGAAGTTAATTATATGTGCTTATTTTTACTGTGTAAATTTGTCAATAATTGGACAGTATTTATAGGCATGCATTTCATGTTGTAAGCTCTTGTGTGTTATTGGCCACTAAATGTAGTTTTGTCACATTTTGATTGAGATTAACTTTACAGAAATGTCACGAGTTTGGCATTGTCACAACACCTATTCTATTACTTTAAACCATATATATAAAGTAAGTTGAGTTTAAACAGGTTGTCATTGAAGTACATTAAAAATCTCCATGTTTTAATGTTAATCATGATTAGCAGGAGATGACTTGGGGATGCTGGGGAGTTTCTTAGAAACAAATATTTTATTAAGTTAGATAAAGAGTATTTCATAACTACTGGGTCAAGAGATATTATATTGGCTTCATGACAAATTGTAAGGTTTATCCTGAGACAATGAAAATGGTAACATTTGTGATTTTATCATCTTGATATGATACTTGTAAATGTCACAGATTGTCAGATGCTAATGTATTGTACACTTTTGTTGTACACAATATCATAGAAACTGATTACACTATTTCAGGTGTGATAACAAATTTTGTTTTTCGTAATTTAAGCAGTTTCTTACAGAGAAAAATGTTTTTTCTCATGTAAGCATTCATCTATATTTATCACAAAGTTAGAAGCGTCTGTGACGAAGTGGTTACAGTTACTGATTTCAAATCATTTTCTCAAGCTACTTTTGGGTTTGACACCCATCAAGGACTATGAGGGCTCAGACCAGGGACGGGCACCTGAGGATTTTCTGTATTTAAATTAATTGATTGTTTGTTGGGTTTAATTTGTTTAGTCACACCAAGACTGTCAAGGTCACATGGCAACTTTCCAGCTCAGCTGGTGATGAAATCCTTTAGGTGCCCTTTTGTTATGTTTATGTTTACCACAGGCGTAAGTGGGCACCTAAACTCAAACCTTTACTGTATTGCTATGTCTAACATGACCAAACACAACAATCTCACATCACAAAGTATATAATGAGTTTTGAGGTTATAAACTATATATGACATGTCATCATGAATTACTGTATTATTATCTTAGATTATAGATAGTGCATACCGATGTTCTGTTTTAAGTCCGCACAAATATTGATCAGGGGTGGCAAAATTTTGATTCTGACTTACTTGATTTTTTGTTTTAACTATATTACAGCTTTACTTGCCTATATGCTATTTTAATATAATGTAAATTGTGGAAAAATTCACTTGTCTGTACAGACTGTTAGACAACCTTGGCAATACAGACAACTGGTATAGCAGCCCCTGTTGATAGTACTTAAAAGGCCATATTCATGTTCCTGTGTTATTTATAACCCTGTTACAGCATAATAATATATTGTTAAAGTTTTATTGAAGTTTCTATTTAAAGAAAGTTTTGTATTACTATGATGAATATATTGCAATTTAATATTGATGTAAAATCTGAAGAGTTAAAGGAATTTTTACAAGTGACATTGTAGTTTATATATAACTCATGATGTTTTTATTTTTTTATTCACTCAACAATAAGAAAAGAAAATGAGAATTTCCCTGACTGTGGAATGTTATTGAATTATTTCTAGCCATTTACTGGAACAATGTTGAAATATTAAAAAAAAATCTCATTTCAAAGGAAAATTCTTTCACCAACTAATAAAATCCTTCGTGTATCCTATATTTGTGGTGTACCCATAAATATACAGAACTTGTACTTTATTTAGGAGCTAATATTGATCCTTCTTCACAAGTGTAAGATTTGCCTTTAATTGTTGCATAAAATTTAATGTCTGATTTGTGAATATGTTCATGTCAGGGGAATCAAGTTATTTACGTTTGCCTTTGAACAAGTTTTAAATCATTGCAATGAAATAAAAGTTTTGATATCAAATACTGTTAGAACTTGTCCTGACTTCTTAGCATGCCATAAATTTATGACATTAAAACACTTGCCAAAAATGTATATATGCTATCTGAAACATAAGCTGGGATATTTTCTTCTTTTTATCATTTTTATGATGAAAGTTAATTCATCATTTAAATATTACATGGTAAATGATATACTGATAGACTTCCATTTTGATATTCACTCGGTCTACCCTGTAATTTAAGACCACTAAAAAAATTGCTTTAAAAGCTATCCTTTTGTTGTTGTTGTTTTTTTAGATCATTTTTAATGTTGTAAAGTAGCTTTTTTCAGAGAGCTTTTGTTAATAAACAAGTTTTTCACTTCCATGTTTTGTACTGATAAATTTAGTATATGAAGGGAGGGTAAAAATTGTAGGAAAAATAAGTCATTAATTAATTGAGAAATTTTCTTTCTTAGTCATTTACCTTGAGCACAAACTGCCCATGACAAGAGCATAGACAAGTGAAAGGTTTTTTGTTATAATAGTTAGGTAATTATGTTACCTTGAGTTATAATGTAGGTAACATTCTTGTTGTTATTGGTGATGGCATTTATCATATACTGGTGTGTTTGTTTGATGGAGAATGTTGACTATTTATTGTTTGTACTAGGTAACTACAGGCCTACCATCATACCTAATGTTATTCTTGTTTCAGAATGTAACCAAGGGTGCCAGAAACAAGATTGTTCTCAGTATTAAAAAACTTCAGGAACGACAAGATGTACTCCGCAATCTAGAACGGGTAAATTTATTATAAATACCACAAATACTTTATATATATACAGTAACTGGGATACAGTAATGAAAACTAACAGAACTGTGGCATTGTTAAATATTCATTATGTGAGGTGTACTGAAGGCAATGATTGGTGTATACTGATGTGTGGTAAAAATGGTTGAAATGGTCTCTCCCCTCGAATAGACTAGATTTATTAGCAGTTTTATTATATCACACACTCTGTTACACATCAATGCTACCAAATCAGCATATTATATTATTTCATGAGTGTGTATCCTTGAAAATAAACATGCTGTATTATTCCAGTTAAACTATTTCTACAGATCTGTGACTTCTCTGTCACACAGTGCAGGTTTCTTGTACTTTCATTAGAATAACAATGATTGCTTTACTTGTCAAAATATAAAATACTATTACCACTTGTGATATGAGCATCAGTACAGAAGTAGTTTTATTATGCTCCTTGAAAAATTTACTTTTTTTGTCTACTATGATTAATAGAGGTACTGGTATGTGTTCCATAATTCAATGGCACTAACCTATAGTTCTGCTCATACAACTTTTATTTAGTAACTGATGTCTTTTGATAATCAATAGATACATACACTTGATAGTTCTCTGACTTTAGGATGAGTAAGGGGTCACTGGTCTCAAGGTCACCTGTGTTAAAAGATAGATTTTTATACTGGCTGATTCCACCTTTATTCATTGACCAGTGTCTTTCATTTTTGGAAGATTCATATTTTTGTTGGCTGGAATTTGTTGCCACTAAGGTCAAGGTCAGCCATAGTAAGAATATATTTTTTACACTTGCTCAAACAGCCCTCATTCACTGACCAATGTTTAAAATATTTGGTATGTAAGTAACTTTCATGGTTCTTGGCATTCAGGAAGCTTCCATATGTCTTATTATAATATATAGATCTGTGGGATGATTATTTCCCCTTTCTAGTTCATACTACATTTGTATAATTATGTAGCTAAAATGAAACTGTCTGTGGATTAACGACTTGCCTAACAGCATGATTTTCCAACATTTTATCAATTTAGTTGAAAAACTGGCCAGCAGGCTATATATTGTAGTGTTACCCCATTACAAGTTTAAATATTTCATTCACCCTCTATTAATTATTTAAAGTGTATCAGAGCAGAACTGCCTGTATTGAGTAAAAAATGTCATGATAAATAAAAAAAACTTTGGGTCTATATTGATAATGTTTCATACATGAATAAATGTCATGTCATAAAAAGTGATGAGGTTACTCTCTACTGGGTGGTGTAATATATCCTCCTATATGTTTATATGATTGGTATTTAATATCATCAGTATCATCATTTAAATAATGTTTTAAAAGTGAGAAATATGGTTGTTCTTGTTCTTGTTAAATCATCTTTATAAATAGTTTCTGTTTAGCATCTTGCCATAGTATGATAAGATAATTTAGTCCAAACATGATTGTCTCCCCTGATTTCATATACAGTAATTGAAGTAACTAAACTATACTGTTCTGATCTCTCTGCATAATTTTTTCTTCAATTCGAAAGTACAAGAAAGGATAATTATGTTATCTAAAATATTTAAAACTTGAGTGGCCTTGCAAACAATAGAAATTCTTAGAACGTTTTATCAAGATATTGACAAAAGTTTTATCAAGATATTATATTGGCTGTGCTAATAAAGTAAATATAACACTGTACTAGTTTTCAGTATTTAAGATATATTGTTCAATATTCTTAATTTCACATGTCTGATTCACTGTGTCAGTATATGTAGATTTGCTGCTGTAATCAGTATTTTGCATTTGTCAGTATTTCTATATTTGTCAGTATTTTATATTTGTCAGTTTTCTGTATTTGTCAATTTTCTGTGTTTGTCAGTTTTCTGTATTTGTCAATATTCTATATTTGCAATATTCTATATTTGTCAGTATTCTATATTTGTTAGTATTCTGTATTTATCAGTAGTTCTGTATTTGTCAGTATTTCTGTATTTGTCAGGATATGACAAGAGGCTGGTTCTATGTTTGTCAGTATTCCATATTTATCAGGATATAACAGAGGCTGGTTCTATGTTTGTCAGTATTCCATATTTATCAGAATATAACAGAGGCTGGTTCTATAAATTTATATTTATCAGGATATAACAGACTGATTCTATATTCTATATTTATCAGGATGTAACAGAGGCTTGTTCTATAAGAATTCTATATTTATTAGGATATAACAGAGGCTGGTTCTGTATTCTATATTTATCAGGACATACCAGAGGCTGGTTCTGTATTCTATATTTATCAGGACATACCAGAGGCTGGTCCTATATTCTATATTTGTCAGGATGTAACATGCTTGTTCTACAAGTATTCTATATTTATCTGGATATAACAGTGGTGGTTCTATATTCTATAATTATCAGGATGTAACAGAGGCTGGTTCTATGTTTGTCAGTATTCCATATTTATCAGGATATAACAGAGGCTGGTTTTATAAATTTATATTTATCAGGATATAACAGACTGGTTCTATATTCTATATTTATCAGGATGTTACAGAGGCTAACCGCTTGTTCTATAAGAATTCTATATTTATTAGGATATAACAGAGGCTGGTTCTGTATTCTATATTTATCAGGACATAACATAGGCTGGTTCAATATTCTATATTTATCAGGATATAACAGAGGCTGGTCATATATTGTATATTTGTCAGGATGTAACAGGCTTGTTCTACAAGTATTCTATATTTAGCAGGATAGAACAGTGGTGGTTCTATATTTATAAGGATGTAACAGAGGCTTGTTCTATAAGAATTCTATATTTATCAGGATAAAATAGAGACTGGTTGTATATTTGTCAGTATTCTATATTTATCAGGACATACCAGAGGCTGGTTCTTTATTCTATGTTTATCAGGATATAACAGAGGCTGGTTCTATATTCTATATTTATCAGGATGTAACAGAGGCTTGTTCTACAATTATTCTATATTTATCAGGTTATAACAGACGCTGGTTCTATATTCATCAGGATATAACAGAGGCTGGTTCTATATTTATCAGGATATAACAGAGGCTGGTTCTATATTTATCAGGATATAACAGAGGCTGGTTTTATCAGTATTTTATATTTATCAGAATATAACAGAGGCTGGTTCTATAAGTATTCTATATTTATCAGGATATACCAGTGGCTGGTTCTATCAGTATTCTATATTTATCAGGATATAACAGAGACTGGTTCTATAAGTATTCTATATTTATCAGGATATAACAGAGGCTGGTTCTATATTCTATATTTATCAGGATATAACAGAGGCTGGTTCTATATTTATCAGGATATAACAAGGCTGGTTCTATATTTTATATTTGTCAGGATATAACAGAGGCTGGTTTTATCAATATTCTATATTTATCAGGATATAACAGAGGCCGGTTCTATATTTTATATATATCAGAATTAGCAGAGACTGGCACTATATTCTATATTTATCTGGATGTAACAGAGGCTGGTTCTTTGTTTTATATTTATCAGGATATAACAGAGGCTGGTTCTACATTCTATATTTATCAGGATATAACAGGCTGGTTCTATATTGTATATTTATCATGATATAACAGGCTGGTTCTATCAGTATTCTATATTTATCAGGATATAACAGAGGCTGGTTCTATATTCTATATTTATCAGGATATAACAGAGGCTGGTTCTATATTCTATATTTATCAGGATATAACAGAGGCTGGTTCTATATTCTATATTTATCAGGATATAACAGAGGCTGGTTCTATCAGTATTCTATATTTATCAGGATATAACAGAGGCTGGTTCTATATTCTATATTTATCAGGATATAACAGAGGCTGGTTCTATAAGTATTCTATATTTATCAGGATATAACAGAGGCTGGTTCTATCAGTATTCTATATTTATCAGGATATAACAGAGGCTGGTTCTATCAAGAGTTGTATCACTGAGATGAGGTTAATGCTCAACACTCCACTTAAAGCGTTCCACAAGGTAGACACAGATACCCCCGCTTCCCTCAACTCTCCGGGCTCCGCTGGTGATGCTGACAATACCATACAGGAGGGAGATATTCCTGGCCAGTTCACTAGACTTATGACTAAAGGTAAAGGTTTTGTCAAATTTGTCCATTGTGGCAATTCACCTTGTGTAAGGCAAAAAAATAATTCAAGTTTAAACACTTTCATTTTTAGGGTGTTTTAAAGAAAAAAGTTGAGCTAATTTACTGTCGCTGCGGGCAAGTGGTTGTCATCATACAAAAACTTTAAATGTAGCCAATTATTCAAAGATTTTAAAAGTTATCAACATAAAAGTTGGAATACTTTATTATCATGACAAGGTGCAGGTGTGAGACTAGGGGCATAATTCTGAAAGAACTATTTTTGCCCTTATTAAATTTTTTACATATAAGCATTAATACTGCATGCAAAAAAAAAACTTTCTGTGTTTACCTATGCATAATGTTGACAAATCCGTATCTATATTTACAGTGTTCACACAGTTAATGTTGACAAGCCCCTATGATGATGAGGGACTCAACATGTACCTACAACTCATTGATAAATGCATTAATCATGAGGTAAACAAAAGTTTCAAATCCTTCTTCATAAAAACATACAAGCAAACCTAGATTATTGTGGGTATCTAAGATAAAATTTCATACTGTAAACTGTCATTAATTCACTAATATTTTTATGTACTAAACACAAAAAAATTTTGACTAGAATAAATAAAATGAATACATGATGTATTTTTGTTTCCATTATTTTATATTAGAATATTAAAAGTATTCGTGTAAGGTAACAAAGTGAAAGCTTTAGTCAATGTGACTGTGTCTAATAGATGATTGTGTTTAGTAGACTGATGATAGACTGTATTCCATTTTTATTTGACTCATTTTGTGAATCTTCTTTCAATGAACTTCTGTTTGGAGTTAAGAATCTATTTTTTATGCATACATAATAAAATGTGTTGTTGTTTTATTTTCCAGGCTTTCTCACAGAAACAGAAGAGGTTATTAGACTCATTTAAACAACAGGCAAGGAAGATCTGGCAACCAGCACCTGTTAAATACAGTTATGACAAAAAACCTAGACCAAAGTATGTCCTTATGTCTGTCCTAGGGTTTAATATTTATATGTATTTATACAACATTTGTAAATGGTAAATTCTTGAAGTTTCATTCTAGCCTCTAGAAATAATAAGATGGAAATGATGTCAATTATAACTAGACATTATTAAAAACAACATAAATTGTATGCCAAGATAGGTAAAATAAAGTGGTGATAAAATAAAGTGGTGATTGAATATGATAAATTTATGAAAATAAAATCCTTTAAATATTGGTTGTAATGTTATACAATGCCAGCATTATAGAAAGTTCTATTTTTTCATGGGCAGTTTGATTTTATTAAACAATAACATCAGTATGTTGTTCATAATTAAAGTTTAGATTAATAAATACTGCATTGTTTTTTACTAAAGAAAAAAGGAGATAATTTACCTGTCTAGTGACAACTGATTATATTGTAATGTTAACTAATGTTAAATTTCAATCTGTTTTGTGATAGTTCAACCCAGTACATAAATCAATAAAAACCTTAGAATCTTAAATCATTGCTAAAAAAATCACATATTTTTTGTGTATTATAATGTATTGTTACTTGTTACTTTATAGTCAGTAACTAAAGATCTAAAAAAAAAACATATAATTTCTGATTGAATTGTCTCACACAAGTGTTTTTATTGTATCAGGAAGGAATGATTGATTTCTTCCAGCATAAAAAGAAATAAATCACTTAAGAAAATTACATATAACAAAGATTGACAGTATCAGGTTTCAGAATTATTTTGTATTGTATGATTATACAATATTTTTAACTGCATGTGTTTAAAAGCTGAATAAAGCATTATATAATGATTTGTAATGGCAATAGAAGTAAGATTTTTTTATACGAAGTAAGTATTGAGATTAACTGTCTTGTATTTCAGTTGGGGTAATACATTTCCTATGGGTAATACATTTAATAGTCGTCCTATACAGAGAATGGGTGTAAAAACTTCACCCAAACCGCCTGTACAGCAGCAGCAGCAGGGTGGTATGCAGTGGAGTTTTGGAGCTAAGCGGTCTCTAGTAGGTGGTACAAACAGTACAGGGCATTTACAGTTACAGAGAAACAACTCTCATAATACAGCTGTCTTCTCACGTCCAGGAATTGTAGAGGTAAAGCCTTTATATGAGATTACTGTCTTTATCAGTTGGCCATACTGTTTAGTATCATTTCTAGTCGTCTTATAAATGGGTTAACTTAAAGCGAAACAGCATGGATCAGTGATTGGACAGCTGGTTCTTGGGGTCCATAGCTTAAGTTCGGCAACTCTCATTAATGTGTTTTCGTAAATTGGAATCGCCTTAATTATATGTATATTGATAGTAGGTATATTATAGTAAAATATAGTTTTGATAAATGCACTGTAATTTCATAGACTGGTGGACATATAATGGTTCATAGTGGTCATACATATACATGTATGATCAGCTCTAACTCTTGCTGCAAGAAGATGTAACCATTTTAATTGTAAACTGTTTCAAATTTCAGAATCTTCTGCAACCCTAGAAAACTTGAGAACCACCAGGGGAATTTCAACATTATGTTACATGTCATAAATAATGCTAGACATACCTTTGAAGTTTGTTTGTATAATCTGTAGACATTAGATAGTTGATGGTTAATTAACTTTGTCTGGCTAAACCCCTTGATGATATTTTAGATGATATTAATTGAGCAATTTATAGATGGAAATCAGTAGCCTGTGTGTATATCAGTCATAAATAATCACTGTTGTTTTTGATGATGACTTTATATTGTTCTAGAAGTAAGTTGTTTATAGGGTTACCAAATCAGAGCTGTAAACCAGACATTCTGACATAAATTATTTATATACAATAAAAGACAATAATTGATCAGTAAGGTTGATAGAAGCCCTGGTAATACAGTTATAAATATCTACCATCTTCAGTGTTTCCATCATGATTTTTGTCATTATTTTGCCATTATATAATATGTGAAATTCTAAATGTATCCATGAGGAGAAAATGTAAAAACAAAAAGATAAAAAAAATTTCTTTTATACTTATAAATATTGTCATTAAAGAAGAAAGTCTGTATTGCTTTGCACATCAGTCCTTAGTACCAGAACAATAGGTTCTTAGATGACTGTAAGGCCTATAGGTAACAGTAATTTTTTTTGGTGCTAATCATTAGTCAAGGGTTTATGTTGTTAATAAGACAATGAGGTTATCTCACAAGTGCCATTTCGTTACAACATCCTTCTGTTTTTCCATAGACCACAGCTTGTACAAGTGATAATTAGAGAACAGTTTGATGTTGATATTTCAGTATTGTAATGGAGTATTTATGTTGATATTTCAGTATTGTAAAGGAGTATTTATGTTGATATTTCTGTATTGTAATGGAGTATTTATGTTGATATTTCAGTATTGTAATGGAGTATTTATGTTGATATTTCTGTATTGTAATGGAGTATTTATGTTGATATTTCTGTATTGTAAAGGAGTATTTATGTTGATATTTCAGTATTGTAATGGAGTATTTATGTTGATATTTCAGTATTGTAATGGAGTATTTATGTTGATATTTCAGTATTGTAATGGAGTATTTATGTTGATATTTCAGTATTGTAATGGAGTATTTATGTTGATATTTCTGTATTGTAATGGAGTATTTATGTTGATATTTCAGTATTGTAATGGAGTATTTATGTTGATATTTCAGTATTGTAATGGAGTATTTATGTTGATATTTCAGTATTGTAATGGAGTATTTATGTTGATATTTCTGTATTGTAATGGAGTATTTATGTTGATATTTCTGTATTGTAATGGAGTATTTATGTTGATATTTCTGTATTGTAATGGAGTATTTATGTTGATATTTCAGTATTGTAATGGAGTATTTATGTTGATATTTCAGTATTGTAATGGAGTATTTATGTTGATATTTCAGTATTGTAATGGAGTATTTATGTTGATATTTCAGTATTGTAATGGAGTATTTATGTTGATATTTCTGTATTGTAATGGAGTATTTATGTTGATATTTCAGTATTGTAATGGAGTATTTATGTTGATATTTCAGTATTGTAATGGAGTATTTATGTTGATATTTCAGTATTGTAATGGAGTATTGATGTTGATATTTCAGTACTGTAATGGAGTATTTATGTTGATATTTCAGTATTGTAATGGAGTATTTATGTTGATATTTCAGCAAACAATAAAGCAACCAGTGACGCGTACACAGTCTGCCCCGTTACGTTCCCACGGTGCACTGTACGGTGGTATACCTATGACGGAGTCACAGGCAACAGACACCGAGATCAATGCAAGACTAGATTCTCTCTGTAGAAGTGTCACAGAATGTGCTTTGGCTGGATCAGGTATAAAAGTCAATACTTCCTATTCTTACAAATAAATTCTTCAGATTTTATTACCTTTAAAGTAACGATAACAAAGTAATGCTATAAATGCTATTTCTTGGGTTGATTAGTCATGATCTGCATTTGTGTGGCTTTAAATTCAAATGTGGTCTAAGAAAATCATTTGATCCCTACTATTTCTTAGACACATGGCAAGACTAAAATTTTGGGAGAGTTTTGAAATACTCATGTCACATTTTAAATATACATTTACATTATACATAATTATAACAATATACACTTATTTACAAGGATATTAAATGTTGATTGTCAGAGTTTTCAATAAAAAAAACTATTTATTGAAATTTCTTCATGTACATGTACTTTTCTTTTCCATTTAGCTTTTAGCTTTTAGAAAAAAACTAATTCCATAATACCTGTATGAAAGATCTATATTTGTATTATTCTTTAAGAGCGGATGGTGCATGCTCAAAATTTTTGCCAAACATTTAAAACTCTGAATATTTCATGTGTATGAAATAACATTCTATGTTACAACCATAACATTATAGAAACAACATAATTTTACTGTTTATAATTTTTTATAAAAGTATATCATTAGATATAGCATTGATTTGAGGCTATAGTGGTTATAAGTTCTCTGATGCTCTGTTAAACTATTCATAGATATATTCACATGGTCTCAACACACTGCCTACATTAGAGATGTAAAATTTGAATCACACAGTTTATAAACCTGTCTACTTCCTGTACTCGCAAGAAAGATACAAGTAAAAATATATAGCCTCCCAAGAAAGGTACAGTGATCAGAAGTATAATGTGTTTGTACTCGCGAGACAGGGTACATATTGAATTGTATAGGCTCGCAAGACAGGCTACAGTGATTTTATTTATATACTGTGAATCAGTTAAACAATGATCTATATTCTACTTATGTTACATCTTAATATTCATCAATTTTAATTAATTTTCGTATTGATAAGACATGTTTTTGTTTTGTAATTTCAGATGGCAATGAGCGGGGCTCGGCCTACTGACCAGCAAAAACTGTTGTTTTATATGATAAATCTTATAAATGAACACTAAAAGTGCTTTATATATGAATCAATGAGTGATAAAATATATGCTGTAAATATTGCGAGGAGAAATCCAACATGTTTAAACATTGTCTAACAATGAGATACAGAAACAGATCCTGTGTTGATGTGTGGAGGAGAAAATCAAGTCTTCTTCAGCTGTTTACAATAAAATGTTCGTTCAATGAATTTTAGAAGTGAAAATGTTAATCTGTGAAACAGAGGTAACCTCGACAAATTTTTCTGTAGATTGTTTATTATCAGGAGTATTGAAATACAGTACTTACAGTACTAATAAAATGAAATAGGGTAATGTAAAAGTTAAAATGATTATCTGGTAATTAAACACCTTCTGAGAAGGACATAATTATTTTTGATATGTTTCATCAATTAACTTTTCCTTTTCTTATAAGAAAACTAAAGACAACTTGTTTATAAAGTCATTTTAGAATATGCAGTTGTTTTTCTGTGGCAAGATTCAATTTTTGTTGCCAGATTTTTGAATGGAGTAAGATTCATGTATGAATTTTTTATGAACAGTAATTTCTGGTAAGTTTATAAAGAATACAGGTTAAAACATCATCAACATTATGTAAAATTACACTGACATTTTCTATGTCTTGTTTATACTTAACACCACTAATTGGTTATAGTGCTACAAGTTTGTATTTGTTTTTTAATTAAAATATAAACTGGCGTGGTGAACAAACTTTTTGTAGATTTACTCTATGACAGTGCTCAATACATTTTGCCACATTGTGTGTCTTTTTAATTTTTTTTAAATAATTAAACTCTGCACTTGTGATTTTTATCTGTGTTTGATTAGAAAGCTATGATGTGTATTTTGTCAATATTTCACAGATCACAATGTTCCACTTTCATTGAAAGTATCAGTTTTTAAGGTGCTTTTATGTTTCTAAATCAGAAGTTAGCTCTGTATATTTCAAAGTGAAAATAAATTACAATAATGTGATTAACTACTGATATGATATTGTCAAGGTGATTGATGTTTTCAGTAGAATACTGTTCAAGGGAGTTAACAAACATTTTATATAATCTATACCCGGATCTAAATATTTAAAGGAAAGCTAAATAATCTGTGGCAAATATTAGATGTTCCAAAAAGAAACTAAAATTTTGTTTTTTATTTTGTTGTAGCTTGGCATTTTTGTATAAATATTTAAGTGTTAAATTTTTGTTGTTGATTATTCTAAACAATCAGTTAATCTGATAAGAATTTAATTTTTCTTTTTAAAGGAGCTCCACTGCGGTCCAATATCCTAAACACATGAACTTTAAATTTCTTACATTTATCAACTGAGGCACTTGAAACAGAAAGATTTGTGAATGATAATTAAAACATATACTCAGAATTAAATCGCAGATTGTATTTTTGTGTTTTTCTTAGCCTGATTTAAGTGAAAAGCGTTGCAATGCTTTTCAGTTTTGGTTAATTTCACAATTAGAAAAAATACATTTGAAAAACAGAGAGAGTGAAAGATCTGAAATTTTGCACACAAGTTTTTGGTCTAGACCTACATCAAATGGAATATTAATGTTGAAAAATCATTTCTGGTCCTGTCATGTCAAAAAAAAAAAAAAAACCCAGTGGAGCCTGTTTAACGAAGGAGTGACTTTAACATGACATTCAAAACTTGTAAGTGTAGGTCTGGTGGTTATAATATATTTGAGTTTTGATAATGTAACATAGGAAAATGTTAGGGTAGACTTATTTATGTCATATATGTGGTGACAAGATGTTAAATGTACCTATTTATTTTAAAAAATCATGATGCAATCTCAATACAAATCTATTCAGATGTTTTTTCTTCTTTATTTTAACATCATAGTCTGGCACTTTTGATATCCTAAAAGATTAATGTATGGTAAATTAACATTTAATCATGTGTCATATTCTGAAAGACTAGTACTTAAATTCAATAAAAAATTGTCTTCTTACAATATTTTCAACAAGGCAAAAAAGTATAATCATGGGTAAAACAAAACAAGTCATATTGCCTTGTTAATTTGCTTTTGAAGTAATTTCTTTGTTTGTAGGTTCTTTGAAATAGAGAAAACTTTATTGATGTAAACTGATAGGTAGATAATTAACTAATGAAAACATCTTGCTCATCATCAACTTTGATAATTATATAAAATAATACTTTACACCAATCAGTATGCAGTAAAAAAATGATTTGTTTATAATCAGGTCTCACCTTATAGTGTTCAGTGTGGGATAGATTTAAGTTTGTCAACCATTTTGTAACTAGTCTGTGTTCATCTAATCAGACTATTCTTGGTTGTCAGCAATCTATTGGTATATAAGCTGATAGGTAAAGCAAGATAAAAAAACAACAACCTACCAACACTATAACTGTATACTCTAACTATGATATTACAACATTACTGATCATTATTTTATACTTATCAATGAAATACAAGTATTTGTTGGTGAGTTATGATATATATCACATCAAATTGGTTCAACTTTCATGTTTTTATTGATTCTCAAAGGCTAGAAGTTTGTGCGTATACCTAAATGTTCATATTTCAATGAGATATAATCCAAATTTATTGAATACAAACAAATATCCTCTCTTTATAAAAAAAAACAATGATTGCGTTACCAATATTTTTTTTGATCTCAAAAATTAATTTATACCTATAAGGTGTAACATGATATTCTTTTCTGTATTATTTGACTTTTAGTTTAGAAAAAATCTTGAATGCTTTCTAAGACAGGTTCATACATGTGACATCCCGGCGGGATTTAAAAAAATCCCGATATTTCGACACTGATCCCGATTCCCGATATTACAGCTTGAATTCCCGATATTTAAAAATAAAATCAACTTAAAAAAAAAACAAACACAGCACCTATATCTAAAATGTAAACCGTGCCTCCGGGCATTGATTGTTATCTGTCCATATCCTAAATTATAGCGGATTAAATGTTGAGTCGCTAATTGACAGCAAGGTGACGTAATAAACAGTTCCAATACCCAAAGTTATTCTCACATGTTTAACTTAACACGTGTCGTGTGTCAGTCAATTGACCTCTTTTGTAATTTGGCAGTAGGTATTACACGCTACGTCATCAAAACTACCCTGTAAATTTACATGTATGAATTCGGCTCAACCTTTCATTTTCTTTGATTAGTGCCGCACTGATAAAGATAAAAGGTGAGCAGAATCATTTAAAGTGGATCATTCAACAACCTGTTCGAGATGTCTAATTAACCTATTTTTAGTGAGTGGGTATTTTTTCTGTTTTGTTTAGGAATGACACAATCATCGAGGCAAAAATGTGGATTTAATTAAAGGAACGATTCTTGCATTTATTTTGAGTCTTCTACTTATGTTACGTAATTTAACTGTCATAGTCTTATGTTCATGAATAGTTGTTGCACGTTTTCAAATAGCTTGTAGCCAATATTGAATGACTGAAAAGACAGATATAATTTTTCAAACTGAAAATAATGAAATGTAAAAATGTGACTGTTTTAGAAATAGCCTGTATGACTACACTTATTTATTTATCTATTTATTATTTTTTGGTGAAATAAATTAATATTGATCAACAAAAAAATCATAAAAAGTATAATCATTTAATGATTTTGAGGGTAATATAGATTCTTTGAACCAAATGTGTCAAACACGCATTGAAATTCGAGTCGATGAAAAATCCAGTTTTGAGCCTCAAAATCCAGCTGAAAATCCAGATTTGGCCCATTTCATTTGTCACATGTATGCAGGTTATCTGCCAGTTTTCTTATTTAAAGATTTGCTATAAAATGGTTGTCTGTAAGTGCCTTATCATCTGTTGTAATAAATGGAATACTTCAACATTGTATATTCACAAACTTTTATAGATGTTATAACAGGCTTGTACTAATGTCCAAAAAAATGACCCAGTTTATTTAGTTCAATCACGCAACTAACACTTATTTTAACTAAACAGAAATTAAGTTATTTACAAGTTATTATGATGATGATGATGTATTGGCTAGTGGCTAGATATCAAAAATTAAGACAATTAAATTATTTTTACCTTTTGCTTTTGAATTCTGTTTTATAAACTGTAATTTCAGCAAATTTTTGCTAATATATAAAAGATAAGTTTCTGTTATAACAAAGTATTAAGTTGATAGCTGACAAGGGGCCGGTGTAAAGTCAATGACAGGTTTGCTTATTTTAATTTTAGTTCAATATGAAAAAAATAACTAAAGTTTTCATGATGGATTTCCTTGCAGATATTAAAAAGTTAAATACACAACACAAATGTTGAGGTTTGAGATTAAAAACAATGAGCTTTAGGAACTACAATTTAATAATTGTTTAAAGGGAAGCAACTTCAGCAAATACAGTTTAACAATAATAAAAGGGAAACATTTTTTAGGAAATATAGTTTAAAAATTCATAAAAGGGAAACAACTTTTGGAAATACAGCTTAACAATTCATTTAAGGAAAATATTTTAAAGAAATATAGCTTAACAATTAATAAAAGGGAAGGAAATTTAGTTTAACAATTTAAAAAAGGGAGACAAATGTATTACTAATTGCTGAGAGTATGACAAATTTTAATGTTTTAGTGAACAATTAATTATGTTAGATATAGATAAAAAAAACAACTGTATAGTGGTTAATTTTTGTAAGTTATCATAAGGTGCCATACTTACAACATCATCTTGTTTTATATGTTTGCTTTAACGTTCTTCACTTATATAAAAGTATTATTGAAATCAGGTGCTTTCTAGTTTTTTTTATACATTTAGTTGCTATAGTAAATCATCCCATCATTTACTTGAATTCAGATACCATATATTGATTAAGTTGCAGTGTTCTCATTTATTTTTTTTATTAAGATCTCTAGATTATTAAAGGACAATAGATTGTATATTTCTGTTATTTTGTAGTGTTTAATGTGCATGGCATGGTTTTACACTTGACTGCATGACTCATCAGATTTGAAATTTAAGAAATTAAGATTGACAAAAGAATATTTTTGTTTTGGCTGTATAAGGTTAGAAAACTCTAATAGAAATACAGAAATCATAAACATATACAGGATTACCTTAATTGCTGAAGGTTGCCATGGTTACACAACAAACAGTGAAAGAATTGATAATTCATGTAAGAATTATATTATAAATGATTATATTATCCACCTTCACCTAGTATCCCAAAGTTTGATATTTTTGTATTTGTGTAAATATATGAATACTGCAGGTACAGTTGTTAAGGTAACTGTACAGTGTATATATGTTTATTACACAGTTGTTAAGGTAACTGTACAGTGTATATATGTTTATTACACAGTTGTTAAGGTAACTGTACAGTGTATATATGTTTATTACACAGTTTGTATGCTTCCATTTATTTTAATGTATTAGCCTTTACCATGCCTAGAGGGACACCTGAGGTCTTCCTCCAGTAAAGCTGGAATGTCGCGATACAACCTATACTGTTTCGATGTGACGGAAAACCCGAAACAAACAAATTTACCATGCCAGCTGTATAAATAAATATAGCCATGTGAATTGAACACATCAAGATCAATCTGCGCATCCCAGCCGTCTGTACATGGTCTGAACTGGTGGCTATTTAGTCAATATACATTATAAGATTTACTCTAAAAATAGTTAAATGGTTTTGTCCAGATTGAAAGATGGGACAAATCTGTTTTAAGATATTTGGTGTGGTAAGAGTTATTACAGTATACTGATGTGAATGTTTGTTATTACTGACAGTAGTATGTCATACATACTACAATACAATGTTTCATGCTGTAGATTTTATTGTTCATTCTTTAATTTCTTTAAAACTTTTATTTGTTTTTCCCATAGTCAAAAGTAAAAGTACTATCTCCACATACACATTTTATGTATGCTTTTTTTATTTAGATGCTTGTGTATGCCAAAATTTAAGCAAACAGTAAGTTCATTTTGCTTTGAATGCAGTAGACAGTAATCATGTGTATATGTATAAATTATTGCAGTATAATATAGCAGAATCTTGCACATCATATAAAATATCCTCATCATTAACCACATCATATATACAACAAGGAGGAATACATCATTGTTTTTACATCATGGTCTCAGAGAGGCTGTATTTATTATATAAATCATGTGTTAACATTTGCAAAATTATTATTATATCTTATTTATTGGTTGGATATGTTCATACCAAAGTGCATACTATTTAATTTACAGTTTAATTTTGTTTTCTTTTCTTTTTATATTCTTAATTTGTATGATTATTACAGTGTGAAAGTTGTGTGATATGTATGTATGTTTTGAAAGAAGTTCGTGAAATTCAGAATAATGATAAGTTGACCTTTAACTTTTCCTTGAAATAAACACCAAAAATACAGATTTTAATTTAATTTTAAGATGAGAAGTTCTTTAGTACTTGAAATTTTAAACTTTTTCATTTAAAGTAGAAGTAATAATGTGAAACTGTAATAGGAAGAGAGGGTATTTAAAGGATAGGTATTTTAGTGTCCTGGAGTCATTGCCTTGACTTTGATGTGAAAGGGTAGTTACTCTGTTGTTAGTGAAGCAATGATCCTGACATTCTCTCCCCTTCTTAATGTTTTATATACTATATGTGTACAGTTGTTAATTTGTTCTCCTGTTAGATCCTCCCATTATCCTCTCTTTGACAGGGAGATTTCTTAATGTCTAAGATTCTGTTATATTGTATTCTGTAGATAGAAATGTTTGTTGACATGATTTTCAACATTAGTTAATTACCACTATGTAAGTTAGATTATATCAAGGTGATATTTGCTACGTATATGTGTAAAGAAAATATATAAGTATTATACTTACAGCAAAAACTAGCACGTACATGTAGATAAAAAATATTACCACAAAAACAAACTATATATAGTCTAATATACTGAAGTTATATAATGTATGTTTGAATGTTTAGTATTGACAGTTGATACAAGACTGTTACTTGAAAATAAGTTAAGCATTTTGTATATTATGTTTCAATTTGTGTGATCTCCTTATCAAGATTTTATTAATCTTGAAATTATGTGAAGAATGTCTTGATTGTTCTTCAAAAGTTGATAGAAATGTGAATTTTTATTAATTTCTAGTTCTTTTATTCTCAAGTTTTTCAGTTCACATTTTTAAATAGTATATTGCTACTCACATTTTCAAAGATAATTTTGTATTTTTGTAATGAAAGACATTTGATAATGAATACTCTGAGAGAGAACGCATTGTTTCTGTTGGACAGAAAGTTGTAAGAATTGAAGACTTGTGTTTGCATACACAGGAATTTTAGATTTGTATTCAAATGTGTTTTCTCGTAAAGAAACTGCCTTCAGTAAATGTATGTATGTAAGTTGGTTAAGCAGTGTTTTATACCAGGGTATTGTTGTATATACACAGAGTGACAGACGTAAATTGTATCCAACTTGTTGAACAGGTTTTTACATTAACATAAAAATTAAGCATGATAGAAAAATTTTTGTGTGACACAGCTCATTTGATAATGTGTTTAAAGTAAATACTGATCATTTTATAGAATGGAAGAAACACTACATTGATGTATTGAAAGTTGAAGTATATGGGTAAGAATAAAACCTAAAATCATGTATAAATGAAGGATATATGATTATAGTTAAAGTGTCCTAAGGATAGTTAGTGCTGGCCATAGATTTACATGTAAATTAATAGTTGTTCACTTCAGAGAAGTGTTGAAAAGCTGAATCTTATTTTATCAGTATACTAATTCTGTTAGCAGACTTAAATAATAAAGTTTTACACCATTTATCAACACAAAATACCATTATGTGTGTTCTGTTTTCCTAATTTTTGTAATTATACATTAATTTACTATTGAATGGTAAAACATGGCTTGATTTTAAACCTTTGTCTTGCTGCAATAGTTAAGCAGGTACATTTTATCTAATTTTAAATGTTAAGTACAAAATTGTTAATTCTGTCTACAACTGCAGAAAAAAGGTGTTTATATTGGTCAGTATTTAATCTTGAATGTAAAAATGTTATGTTATATTTCAAATTTAATTGTTGTTTAAAAGTTGAATATTCAGATGTTTTCATTACCTGTTCTCTTGTTTCATTATCTTACCTTGACCACAAGTTCTAGGATGACCTATATTAATATGTAAAGGGGGATTACTATGACAACCAGTGCCATCAGTCTTCACCAGTATTGTTTAGGTATTCCATACTTGAGATTTCATTTGTGGCACCAATGTTACATTTGAACTGCATTTTGCTCATCTTTTTCTAGTTGGATCATTTTATGGTGCTACAGGAATAAACAATGGAAAATATTTGTATTCATCCTCTCATTAACCAATTTTGATTAATCATCCCAACATTCTGGTTGTAGTTTTGGGAGGTTGTAAATTAATTTTGTTTGTCCGTTTAAGGTATTGGACCCTCAGAGCTAAAAAAATATACTTATATAATAGATTGGACTGATCATAAAGGGCTAAAATAGAGGTTTAAAAAACTTCATTTTGAAAACCAATGTAACACTAAATCTGGTGAATGATGTTAGGCCATCATAGCTCTCTTGTGGTTTTTTTTTCAAAACGTTTATCTAGTGATGATGAAAAAAAAATGTAAAAAAAGTTTTGACATAGAGTTACTATAGTTACTGGTTGTGTTTTTTCTAATATTTATGTTCGTTTGATACTTTTTATAATAATCATGTTGTGTTTGAAAGTTTTTAAAGTTTTTCTGTGTTAAGAATTTGTTACGATACAATTTTGAAGATATAAAAAATGGCAGTTAAAAGATTCCCTTGTAATTTTATTATCTAGGTTCAGATATCATAGCTTTAATAGTTAAGATTACAAAGTTTGTCACTTTACTTGTACATCAGACTTTTATATTTCTTTGACATATACATCTTACATTAATTTGAAATTGAATGTTTTCATTAATAAAGTGATAGAAATACAAAGCATAGGAGTAATAAAGTATGTGAAGTTATTTTTCTATGATTGTAATCACAAGATGACAATTGGCTGTTAATGTCACGATTAGTCATTAAAACATGAACATATAACAACATTAAAATCATGATGAGAATGTATGAGAAGCACAGCTTTATAGATATCTCACCATTTTGTATGATTAAATCCTCTCATAGAGTATGTGAACATTTGTGGGAATTGTTTTTCTCTTCTTTTTTTTTCAAATAAAATTTTAAAAATTGTTGTTGTAGTGTTGTTTGTAAATAAAAGGTTTGATATATATATGGACGCCTGTGGATAAAACTTCAGATAATAAACTGACACATAATTGTGGATTGATGTGTCAACATTCTGTGTGGATGTGTTTGAAATAATTATGCCCCCCTTCAAAGAAGAGGGGGTATATTGCTTTGCATTTGTCTGTCGGTCCGTAGACCAAATGGTTTCCGAGTGATAACTAAAGAAGGCCTAGACCTAGGAACTTCAAACTTGGAATGGTTATTGTTCTTGACCAGTAAATGGCCCCTATTGATTTTGGGGTCAAAGGTCAAGGTCACATAGACCTTCGTAAAAACGGTTTCCGAGTGATAAATAAAGAACGCTTAGGCCTAGGAACTTCAGACTTGGTTTGATGATTGTTCATGACCAGCAGATGACCCCTATTGATTTTGGGGTCAAAGGTCAAGATCACATTGACCTTGTAGGTAAAAACGGTTTCAGAGTGATAACTAAAGAACGCTTAGGCCTAGGAACTTCAAACTTGGTATGATGATTGTTCATGACCAGCAGATGACCCCTATTGATTTTAGGGTCAAAGTCATACGTCATCAACAGTGCATAAAACATGCGATTTACGAGGACATTTCACGCACTGTACCCACTCATCGCTGTCTTCATAAACATCATCTGTCTGACGGCCAGGACACAATTTACTCTCGTCAAAGCTATCATCTGTCTCTTTACGTTTCAGTTATTTTTCCAACTGTTTAATCCTCTTTTGTTCATCCATTTTTAGTTTCTTTTCTTCTTTTTCCTTCTTTTTGCGTTCTTGCATTTCCTCTTTCTCTCTTTTCTTTTGTTGTATTCCCTTCTGACGTCTACTTGCTTCCCTTTGCTCAACCATCTTGAGAGCTGCAGAGCCAGAAACTGCTTTAGGAAGTTTGGTGTAAAAATTAGTACCATGTCGTTTCTTCTTTGGTTCAGGAATGGAAAGAGACCTGAATGCTGGTGAGACAAATGACTTCCGAGTAACTAACGATGAAAGACATAACGCCAGCGGTTCTTCTGGATGAGATTTTGTTTCCGTATACGATAATAATGGACGGCTACAACACAAAGAACTTGCCTTTCCAAGAAATGTTGGCTATCAGAAACAATGCTAGAGGAAACATAAAATGACTCTGTCGTAACAGGAGAAACATTTCCGGGAGCTATTGTGGCCAAATCTGAAAACATATTTATAACACTGGGCTCTGGGCTAAAAATAGAAGTTATTCCAAGGTTTTCCTTGTTCTGAGAAAATGGAAGAGCTCTTGGAGGATAAGCAATCTTGGAGGGTTCTAATTTCGATTTATCAATTCCAGCTACATCAAGTGGAAACAAGCCCGAGCGCATAAACCCATGGAATGCATTTTCTAAGGTGCTCACAGTTTCCCAGGCTGATTTAAAAACTGCAGGGAATTGACGTTTTGTAAGAGTTTCGCCAATGTTTTCTAGTTGCCATTTTTTCATTTTTTTTCTTCCATGCTGATTTCATTGGAAAAGAAAAACCGACATTACACGGCTGCCAAACACGAGTGGCGTTAGGTAATAGACAGTAAAGAATGATGCCATTATTGACACAGAATATAGCTGCAGCACGAGACATATGAGTTGTATGTCCGTCCACAAAAAGTATCACGGGCTTTGTTATATTTGCATTGTAAAGTGCTCCAAAAAGCAACAAAAAGTTCGTTATCCATCCAGCCGTTGCTGGTATGTCCATAGATAGCTGCAGGAAAAGCTTCTATATCAGTGTCTCGAACCTTTCACCGGGATATATACAATTAACGGCGGTATATAATCCCCGAACGCATTAAAGTAAACCAGTGATTTGCTGTTTGTTACTAGATGTAACATGATAGACATGACGAGCCCCTTTCTCTGCTATAACTTTACCTGTCTTCAAAGATAAAGGAAAACCACTTTCATATCTGTTGAACATTCTTCGGGGATCTTTAAGAAGATTCTTGAAGTCTGGTACTTCATCTTGGAACTTCAGTAGACCATCATACCATCCCTGAATCATTGCCATAGCTGTAACTTTGTTATAAGTATAACTTATAAGTACATATACAAAATTTGAAACATGAACACAGCTGGAAAAAATGTCGATATTTTTAAAATTGATAAGCATTTTTGTACTTTGTTGTTATGATATGTTTGATGACTGCTAAACGATGTTACTTTAAATAATAAAATTATGTTTGAATATAAATAAGTAACTCAATTCTAATTTATGTAAATGAGATAAAAAAAATCGAACTCATTAGAAGTATCCGCACTAAAATTCATATACAAAACGTATAAATTACACGTAGATCTATAAAACGTACATGTATATGTTACGGCAACATATTTATTATTTGAATCATTCCATTTAAAATTGCATTACAGAGAAAAAATAACAACACACGTGTATACTAGTAGTCAGGCAAGCATAAATACACACGCACCCACAAATCACCGGTTATAGAAACAGAAGAAAGTATTATGCATTAAAGTATACATTTATGAGATTTAGATTTTTTTTACTTCGTAGATTTATGTTTTTGAGAAATAAATACATTAATTACCTAAACACATTGCAGTTCTTTCAGCTATATCGGGATGGCGATTTTTAAAACCATAGTACCAATCCTTCCCAGGTTTGTTATTTTTGAACGGGTTACAACGGCCGTCAATATCTAGTATTTTCTGAACTTCTTTTAAAAGTTCTTCTCTGGTCATAGGATATCCTATTGATGCCATGAGCTTAATATAGTCACAAAGGACATTTTCTTCTGCCTGAGTAAGAACCGTAGCTGGGCCTGGTCGAACTCTTTCTTCTGGACTGCGTCCGGATAATTTGTCAAGTAATGTTGTCTTTTGAACCCCAAACAACTCCGCAGCCTTCCTCCTAGACAATGCTCCAGACTTTACGCTAGCAATAGTCTGCTGTATTTTTAACGGCGAATACTTAAGCCTCAATGCCATTTCTTCTGTAAATAAAAAAAAAAAGATGTAAAATATTAGCTTAAGACAAAAGTGGTCGGTAACTGCCGAACTTCAGATTTTATGTCGGCAGTGACCGACCACTCTCTAACAAGGTTAAAAAGGACGTCGCGGACGCACAGTTGTATATTTTCGACGATAGGACATAAGCTACATAACGTACATGCTAAAATACTCGATAAAAAAGCAAGTAATAAAGTTTTAAAAATCACAAAAAGTATGCTTCCGCCTTTACAATCGTAGTTAACAAAATAAAAAAAAAATCTTACCTTGTGTTAGAGTAGCGATTTGTCTGTGATAAATTTCTCTTGAAATGGTAAAAATTCTTGGAAAGATCGATGATGTAATTTTTGACGTCATGAAGTTTGATTGGCATATATTAATTATGATTAATTATCAAAAAGTAATAAGTGGTCGGTAATTGCCGTTCCATGAATACACGAATCCGCTAAATAATTATTTGCACAATTTGTATGACACGTTTTTCATGGAATGTTTAATTTTTAATGCTAACACTATCGGAATTTTTTCTATATAAACCAAGAAGGCCGGAAGCGTGCATTATTCCATCGTCGGATACCCACGGTCGAACCATTAAACATTTATCTGATTGCATGTTATGTGACATGTTTATCAATCGTGGGTATCCGACGATGGCATTATTCTACAACAATGTACTCGCCGTTCTTATTACCTCCGTGTGTATTTTCAAACCGACATATTGACGGCGCCATTTTGTTTGAAAAATTTTATAAATAAAAAACATTTTTTTTGTCAAATTTTGTAGATTGAAAGAAAATGTGTAATTAAAAAATGAATCCGAATACACCAATATCTTTAATTCAGTCGTTAACGCCATGCAGACGCTTAAAGTGTTAATTACATGACGTCACAATATAACGCCAAACAGCACGTGCAAACACATTCAAATCAAAAAGCTATTTTAATGCCGCAAGCAAGTTATATTTAACATTTATTCACTATTAATACTTTGTATTTCGCTTGAAAAATATAGAGTTAAATTAAATAAACAAACTAAGTTTTAATCAACGTTTTCAAAAATTCGTTACTTTCAAAATGTTTCTACACACGGTAGATTTAACGGCAGGTTTTTTCAACCCACTGGCACAACTTTTAAAGAACGTTTCTATTAATGGAAACTCTGAGGTGGAAAAAAAAATAACCACCAAACATAAAGTCCAACTATATAATAACAAGATATGTTTGTAAAACATGTATGCCCCCTATCGGCAGCCAATTAGTCATGTGATCAGTTTATTATGACTGACTTTTGAACTAGTGACCAAAAAATCAATAAGGGTTAATTACTGGCCATGACTAGTCACTAGGTAATTGTGACTGCAAAGGTTGTGTGTAGCAATTTTATGACAAAGTTATTTAAAATCTTACCAAATAATATATGCATCAATTCTGGGCTGTCTAGTTCTTGATATAAAACCATTTTGAAATAAAAGGTCAATGCAACCTTGACCTTTGTTCCCCTGACCCCAAACTCTTTAGGGGTCATCGACAGGTCAAGTCCAATGCACCTACCAAGTTTGAGGGCCGACAGCCCATGGAATGTCAAGTTATTGATTGGAAACTGTTTTTACCGACAATAGGGGTCATCAGTTGGTCATGAACAATCATCATTCCAAGTTTGAAATTCCTAGGCATAAGGGTTCTTTAGTTATCACTCGGAAACAGTTTTTACCTACCAGGTCAATGTGACCTTGACCTTCGACTCCTTGACCCCAAAATCAATAGGGGTCATCTGCTGGTCATGAACAATCATCATACCAAGTTTGAAGTTCCTTAGCCTAAGCATTCTTTAATTATTGATCGGAAACTGTTTTACCTACAAGGTCATTGTCACCTTGACCTTTGACCCTTTGACCCAAAATCAAAAGGGGTCATCTGCTGGTCATGAACAATCATCATACCAAGTTTAAGTTCCTAGGCCTCAGCGTTCTAAAGTTATTGATCGGAA